TAGGTGCCTACATCAGGGCACAGCCAGTGAAGGAGCACGCCCAGAAGGCACCTGCCGTGACTTCAGCTGCTGATGGCATTGCCGGGCTGTACAGCTGGGGAGCGCTCCCGGCAGAAAACATCTCCCTCTGCCGCATCTCCTCCATTCCTGGCACATCCCGGGTCGAGCCAGGGCCCAAGGTGCCGAGCACTAATGCCATGGACTTACGGACAGCACTGAAGTCTGCCCCCATCATCATAACAGACCAAGGCATGGATCTCACCTCCTTGGCCACTGAGGCCAGGAAGTACTGCCTGACCTTGGACCACATTCCGAGCCGGCAGTCCACGGCCATCCAGCCCTTGATCATCAACCTCAACGCCCAGGAGCAGCCCCACACCATCATTGCAGCAGCCAGCACCGCTGGCCTGGCCATCGCCTCCCCTGTGCTCCTCTCGCAGCCCAAGCAGCCCGTGGTCTACGGAGACCCTTTCCAGAGCCGGGTGGACTTTGGGCAGGGGACTGGGAGCCCGGTGTGCTTGGCACAGGTGAAGCAGGTGGAGCAGGGCATCCAGACGGCCACTGTCAGAGCCAGTGGGGCGGCCAGCGCCAAGCCCGAGCCTGCTGCTGCCCCCCAGACCAAGTTTGCGAGGTACAGTGTGCCAGGCCAGATAGTAAAGGAGGATGTGCTCATCACGCAGACTGGCGGGGCGCAGAACATCAGTGGCCTCCCGCAGCCTTTCCCGCCAGATCCAGGCTCAGAGCTGTACCGGGCAGTGCCAGTGGAGGTGAAGAGCCAGGGCCCTCTCCTTGCCCTGGGCGGCAAGAAGTCCCAGGTGATGATGGTGCAGATGGAGGAGGCGGCAGCCAGCCCAGTGACCAAAGTGCTGAAGGAAGAGCCACCAACCAATGTGCTGGACCTCACGGGCGTGAAGCCAGAGAGCCAAGTGGCCTGCTGTGACGTCGTCTACAAATTCCCCTTTGGTGGCAGCTGTACTGGCACGTTCAACCCCACCTCCAAGATTCCAGAGAAGAAAGCCAGGGAGGTGGTGGTGCCTGGCCGGAAAGCCAGCGGGCCCCTCTACAGCAGCAGAGAGACAGAGCTGCCAGAGACCTTCCCCTACCGGGAGCAGCCGGCCCCAGCGCCTGCGCTTTATGAGGAGCAGAAGTTTTACCCTGCTGGCACCTTTGGCCGCCTCTACTCCTCCATGTCAGACACAAACCTCTCTGAAATCGGGATGAGCTACTACCCCACGAGGGGGGATCAGCCCTTCCCCTCCCCAGCAGGTGATGCCGCTGTGGACCTCAGCACCATGAAGCACTCCTACAGCGTGGGCTTCGCCGAAGGGGGTTACCTGAGCCAGGGGCTGCAGTACGGCTCCTTCTCTGACCTCCGCCAGCCAGCAGAGCTGCTAGGCCACCCGCTCCCCATGCGGAGGTACAGCTCAGTCTCCAACATTTACTCCGACTACCGCTTCTCACCCCGGGGGGACCTGGCCAGCTTCCAGGAGTCCAGCCTGGCCCACTACAGTGCCACTACAGCACGCGAGATCAGCCGCATGTGTGCTGCCCTCAACTCCATGGACCAGTATGGGGGCCGGCATGTGAATGGCCCCGACCTGCTGCCCTATGGCCCCGGCACCAGGCCAGGGAGCACAGGGGGGCTGGCAGCTCAGCAGCAGGGCCCCGCACCCCCCAAACCCAGCGGGATGTACAACCCCACCTTCCCTGAGGT